GCTCCAATTATGTGTTGGGTACAGCTGAAAAGTAAGTGAATAAATATGCTAACCTATTAAAAGTAATCTTGAACTAGAAATCCAAAGCAGTGACTAATGTATTCAGCAAGGAAGCACATATCATAATATCTTTTAACTGTACTTTTAAATTAAGTGCATGGGATCAATGTAATGCTGAATTTGAGACTAACACACAGATTCACATAGACAGGTACCCAGACAGAGGTCTTATTTAATGTAGAATGAGCTTCTACTCCCCCTCTCCATCTTCCCTCACATCGGAAACTCTTGTTATTTTAGCTCATGGGCAGTTCTAAGTTTGCATGGTTCCAATATTTACAAATCTCTTGCTACAGTTTAGTTAATTGACACCAGTCCCCATCAACATAGTTCAAATTTCAGTTACCACGGAATATTAACTGTAATTACATAAAATATAAATCACAGCTAGCTCTTCAGTCCACAAATCACTACAGAAGGAACAGATGCTCATCATGATTAGTGATCAGTTATGTCACTTTTTTCAAAGTTTGTCAGTGACTGGTTCCTTCAGACGCTTATTCAGTTTAAGCACAGGCAATAAACTGTGTAGTTGTTTTACCTCCTTGCCTGCTAGTGATAAACCCATGTGACATTTTACAAAAAAAGAGGGAATGTGACAAAATTGGCCATTTCAAGATGAAAGTGTAGCAAAGAAATGACACGTGGTAAAAGTTGAACTGAACATAAATGGAGTTACAGAAGAAAAAGCTAACTGTAAGAATGCTGACAATGCCAGCATTTGATAGACTCTAGATAAGCAGCCAGAGGACTTTGTGAAGGTGAACTTAACATAAATGGGGAAAGTGGTTGTGACAAAAAGTATGAAGATGGCCCAGAGAAAGTGCCACCAGCAAAACAACTTCATATTAAAGGAACTCTCGGAGCTGTTTTACAAAATTGAAAGTACAAAGGATATAATGTTGGAAGCTGATCCAAACCTAGAAAGGAGTATGACAATTAGCTAAGGCACAGAACAGATGCTTGCTTGATCATAAGTTATACCATGAGAAGAAGACAAGCACAAGTGCTGTTCAAACTATTCTTGATAAGTTTTTTTTACAAAGAAATAGGACATTCTGATATCCAATGTTTTCAATGTTTTAAATTACAGTTTGCTGAATAGATACTAGTTTTACTATTTTTTATTTCCCACTTATAGCTGATAGTAAGACAGATTTTAATATTTTGACAATTTTGAAAGGTCCTGGAACAAATACAACTTTTCCCCATTGAGTAAGATCACTTTGAACGGTTTTAGCTTGCGCAAGTCATTTTCAGATCCCATACTTGTATGCAATTCCAAGACCGTACTTCAAATGAGGTAAGAGGCAGCTCTCTTCCCTCTACTCTCTAACATGATCAATGCATGCATCTGATGCATCTGGGCATAGGACTAAGCAGGATGTGACTATTTTTGATCCTGTACTCTCCATTTTTGCCCATTCACTCACTGGTGTCTCTCTGCAAACTGGTCAAACCTGGAACTGGACCTTGAACCACCAAAAGCCATCAAGTTATTCCTTTACTAAAAACCCTTCAGTGGCTTCCAATTACGTTTGGAACAAAATCCTTATCCTGGCTCCGAAGTTCTGCATGTATCCTTCCCAAGTCTCCATCCTCAGGCCATACCATCCCCTGCCCAGCGCCCTCCCACCCTACCCCACCCCTAAGGCACCTTTCAGGTCCACAAACTCGTGGGCCTCTCACTGTGGCTCCTGAAGCTGCTGGAAGTTCTTTTCTATCATTACCCTCCTTAACCCCTACTCATCCTTTAGGTCTCTGACTTTAGGTCTTTATAGGTTAGGGCCCCTTTGCGTGCCCTCACAAAAGTGCCTATACTATGCCTTTATAGCCCTTATGACACTGTGTCTGATAAATGATTCAATGGTTCTCCCTCCCGCAGGGCCGCATTAAAAATTTCTTGGATCTTAAGCACTTTTCCCTTCGTGAGGCACTTCCTCATTAAAAAAAAAAAAAAAAAAATTAACTAATAGATTTTCGTGGGCCCTAAAACTTTTTCTCTGAGATAAGAAAAAAAATCAAAACATGTTCTTTGGCCCTAAAGGGTCACTGTTTTCTTGACTTCACAAGAGCTTCAAACATTGTCGTGGCTCCCCCACAGCGTCGAGGGGTCTAGGCACGGCATCCACCGTGCCTGGCGGACTGGCAGGCCAGCCCTCAGGCCTGGGAGCGCCCGCCCAGTTGAGGTGGCGTCGCGGTCCTCAGACACGTGCGCGGAGGGGCGGCTCGGGACCGCGGGGGCTAGACCCAGTGGGCGTCGGTACTGCCCCGGCCTGGACCACCAAAACCTGCCTGAAGGCGGCCGGAGCTCGGCCCAAGCCCACCTGCGAGGCGCTCTCCGCCGCGCTCTCGGGGCGGTCCTCCCGCTGAGGCCCTCAGCCCTCCTCCTGCCCAGAGGCAGGGAAAAGTAAGGGTGTTCCCCCTTCCTTGGGAAGGCAAAACCCCCGTTACCTGGTCCTCCGGGATATCGGAGTGTGCGCGCGCTGCGGAAGGCGCCCCCGTCAGACGGACGGCGGCTGCGCGGGGCCGCTCGCTGCGCGCGCAGCCGCGGGGGCCGCCTCAGGCTCTACCTCAGCACCGCAGTCTCCAAGCCCTTGGGCGCCAGGGAAATGGCCCTACTTTAGCCCTGAGATAGAGTTTTGGATCTCTGTTGAGGATGTTATGCTAAACTTGACACTTCCTCCTTAGCTAATTCCCAACCCCAATTAAATATTCCAGTAACGCCCCCCCCGACATTCCAGTGGCACCCCCATTGTGTCCTTAGCTTTAACCTTTCTCTTCCACATCGTTGATTCACTTATTCAGTCGGTCACTCTTTTATTCAGTAAATACTTGTTGAGGGCACACTATGTGCCAGGCACTGTGCTAAGATTGGGGTTCGGTGGACACACACTGGTCCCTGCCCTCATGGAGTTCAGTCTACTTTCAAGAAGCTCTTTCAAGTCTTCAAACCTCTACAATCCAAGAGGGTCTGCCCCTCTCTACTCATGCTCGTTTTCATTTGCTTGCTGTTGATTCCTACAGTCCCTTTGACAAAATCCAGTGGAGATAGGAGTGTCCTGGTGGCTTGCTGTATCAATCTCAAATGTCTATTTTCCCTTCTAGACTAAGCAAGTTGAATTCAGGAGCCGTGTTTTGTGTGTCTTTGTGCAGGGACCGTACTAATTTTCTCTGTTACTATTTTAGTATATGTGCTGCCCAAGGGAGAACTACAAACCGTATTTTAATCATCTTCTTACCTCTGGTACTTTAAAAATGCCTAGCATATAGTAGGTCCTCAATAATATTGAATGAATAAACCAGAATGTGCACTTTAGAGAGATTACCCTCATGGCAATATGAAAAGGGAGAGATTGGAGGCAGGTTTTGTTGCTGTCGTTTTAAATGAAACTATTGTATCGTCTAGGTGAGCAATAATAAAGTCCTGAACTGTGACGATAATGGAAAGAAAAGGACAAGTTTAAGTTATTTATGAGGCAGTATTAACAGGACATGATGACTGCTTACATGTGGATGTGGTAGCCAGCCTCCAGGATGGACCCCTGCAATCCTTGTATTCCACTCTTGTGTAGTCCCTACCCACAGTGCATGAGGGTTGGCCTGTGGGACCGAAAGAATATGGCAGAAGTTACTATATTTTACTTCTGAGGCTAGATTATAAAAGACATTGTGACTTTCACCTTGCTTTTTTGGATCATTCGCTCTGAAGAAGTAGCACTATATTCTGAGGGCATTCCAACAACCCCATGGAGAGGTCCATATGGAAAGGAATTGACACTTACTGCCAACAGCCACTATCAACTTGCCAGGCATGGAACTAAGCCATTCTGGAAGTGGATCGTCCAGCCCTAGTCAAACATTCAGATGACTGCAGCCCCATCCAGTAACAGGACTATAAGCTCTCTTTTTTTTTTTTTTTTAAGATTTTATTTATTTGTCAGTGAGAGAGAGAGTGAGAGAGCATTCAGGCAGGGAGAGTGGCAGGCAGAGGGAGAAGCAGGCTCCCTGCTGAGCAAGGAGCCCGATGCGGGACTGGATCCCAGGACCCTGGGATCATGACCTGAGCTGAAGGCAGGTGCTTAACCAACTGAGGCACCCAGGCGTCCCAGGACTATAAGCTCTTGAGAGACTGGGAGCTCGACAACACAGCTAAGCTATTGCTGAATTCCTGACACAGGGAAACTGTGAGATAATAAATGTTTGAGAGATAATAAATGTTCATTGTTTTAAGCCACTAAATTTTGATGTTAATTTGTTACATTTGTTATGTAGCCTAGATAACCAAAGAGTGGGGGGTGAAAGAGGAGAAAGCAAAGACTACCTGCAAGGCTATAAATTGGAGTACTAAGTGCTTGAAAGAGGAGCAGGGAGGGGTTGGGATGGGGGAGATAGCGCATTATTTTCAGGCTCTGTGTTTGTTATGTCTGTAGGATTTCCAAGTGGATATATCCATAGGTAGTCTTTGCCCCTCGCCTCAAAGGCCTACTCATCCTTGAACACTCAGTTCAGATGTCACTTCTGTGAAACCTTCCTGATTTGCTCAGGCAAAACCTAAATCTTCTGAGCATTTATTTCACATTATTATATAGCAAACATAAATCATTTTGTATTGCAATTATCTGTTTGCAGTTATTTGTTAAATGCTTGCTAAAATAATACTTTAAAGACATTTGGTGTACCCATTACACACATATTTTTCCTATTATTACAGATAACGGGCATTTGAGCTTTTCGAGCCGACTGAGCAAACCCGACACGGGAAGACCTGAAGCCACACCTCCAGCCTGATTCTGAAGTAGAACTCCCACCTATACCTAGGTCTAACTCCTCCTGTACCTGGGTTGGGCGTCTCCGCTCCTTAGCTCCGCCCCCACCCAACTTCGATTGGCTGGAAGAGGAAATCGGCTCGACCATTAGTCCTTTCTTGAAGGGGCGGAGCCAGGTTCGTTCTCGTCTGGCCGACGCAGGCCGAACCGGACCGAGGAGACCCGAGTGGGGCCGAGGCCCGCGGCCCCGCGGCTTTGAGCGCAGGTGGCAGGGCGCGCCCCACCCAGCGGCCAGGCGGAGCCAAAGATGCTGACTTCTGCCACGCTGCCCCTCCTGGGCTCCCAGCCGCCTCCGGCCTTGCCCTTCCCGCTGCTGCTGCTGGCGGTGCTGAGCGGCCCGGTATCCGGCCGCGTCCCCCGCTCGGTGCCCAGGACCTCGCTTCCTATCTCGGGTAAGGCGTGGGCGCCCGCGCCCTCAGCCCTTCGCACGGCGCCCAGGCCCCGCCTGCAGGTGCCCGCACCCACCTACCCTCCCTACGGACCCGGACAGGCGCTCTGGGGCCCCTCGGCGCAGCGCATCGCGTCCCGCGCCGCCCACGCCCCGTCAGGACCAGGGCGGGACCCCCACGCGGTGCTGCTCCGCCGCCTCGTTCTCCCGCCTCGCGCTTCGGCTCCCAAGACGCGGCCAGGCGGCCCCCGCGGCCCCTTACTCGCAGAACCGCGGGAGGGTTAAGCCCCTCACCGTGCAGACGCGGACACTGAGGCCCAGGGAGGGCATGGGGGTTTCCTGAGGTCGTCCATTTCGGAGTTGTCTCTCCCTTATTGTCTTCCCAAGCATGCACCTGTGTCCCTCACGCCAGCTTGACAGCCGTTCTTCTTCCAAACTCATTGGCCTTTCATTCTCCTCCAGCCACCCATCCTTCTCCAGCTCAGCATTTCCATCTGCCCACTTCTCAAATTCATTCCCTTATCATCATTTATATCTCCCTGCAAGCTTTTTGCCCTTCTGGTAGCCCTCCTCTCCCTAACTCACTTCCCAGGCCTCTCCCAGCTCAGACACAACTCCCATTCTCTGATCCCTCTGAACTCCTCAGCATTGCCTGTTCTCTCTACACGTTCCTTACGTTGAGTGTTGAGAAACCGTTGACTGAGTTGACTTAAAATTCTGTTTAAATGATTTCTAAAATCTTCAGAAGGAAAAAAAAAAAAAAGGGAGGAAGGAGATTTGGTCCTTTCAAAAGACGTGGAAGAAGCCAGGAGATGCCACAAGGTTAAAAATGGTCATTGGAGTGATTCACACTTCAGTGCTGTCTCCTGAGGTGGGCATGAGCATGGCCACTGACCTTGTTTTCTTCTCAGTGGACAATGAGTGTTAGCACCTTGTGCAGAGAGAACCAGTGAAGCTGAGAGGACAACCTGTTGGCAAAACCTGACAAGTGGGTAATAGTAATATAGAGTCTAAACTTCAGACTAGTGACATGTAGGGTTGCTACGAATCCAGAAGACAAAGTTGTGGTCAGAGACTGGGGTTTGTTTGTGCTGGGGCAATAGCCACAAAATAGAATTGAGGTTGCCTGCCTGGGTTGATAACCAGAAATTCAAAGAAGTCTAGATAGCAAGGTGAAACAGAGCGGGGGATGAAGGGAGGTTGGGTATTCCAGGGCTTATAATGAACATGAGAGAATAGGCAGGTACAGCATAGACATGAGTTTGTGGGAGGATGGGGTGGGTGGGGCCCCATACATCAGCACAACTGGGAATGAATGGCTTGGAGCCATTCTGCCTGTCTTGAGGGTGGCTGAGCAGATGAAGCAGGTAGACCAGAGCTGTGTTGGTGCAGGGATAGGGGCCCCAGAGTGAGCTAAGAACGTAAATTCATGCTAACTTATTTGTCATAATATTTATTTTTTTTAAAGATTTTATTTATTAGAAAGAGAGAGAGAGAGAGAGAGAAAAACAGCATGAAAGGGGAGAGGGTCAGAGGGAGAAGCAGGCTCCCCGATGAGCTGAGAGCCCGATGTGGGACTTGATCCCAGGACTCTGGGATCATGACCTGAGGCGAAGGCAATTGCTTAACCAACTGAGCCACCCAGGCGCCCTGTCATAATCTTTAAATAGAGTTTTGAATGATGATATGAAGTTTAGATTTGGCCCATATGGAGCACATGCCTAAGAAAGAAAGAAAGGAGCCATTTTGAAACATGTAGTACATGTCAGTTGCTTCCACATATGTTATCTCATTTAATTCTGTCAACAAGCCTGGTTGTTGGTGTTTACAGATGAGGAAAGTGATGCTCAGGGCAAGTAACTTACTCAAGATCATAGAGCTGGTAAGTGAAAGAGCCACATTTAAACTTGGGCGGATCCGTTTCCAAAGCACATACTCTTGCCAACTCTTTGGGTGGAAATGGGGTGGGGTTGGGGAGGACAAGAGCGGTGGGAGAGACAGGGGATAGTCTCCTAAAGTGTTGGTGAAGAGAGTGAATTGTTCCCCTTCTAAGTAAGAAGAAGTTACTAATAAGTAGTGATTAAAAAAAAAAAGAAATTTAGAGAGGAAACTACTTGTACCTTCTATAGGTATTTTCAAATTATGTATCATATTGCTATGAATAAAAATTACAGATTTAATATTTATGCTGTTATTTTAATAAAATGTTCTATTTTTATAGAAGAAGCATACTTGACTGCATTGTGTGCTAAATATTCTGGCCTCATCAGTTCTCTCTCTTTGGGGAGGTTAGATGGTTGGCCTGTCAAAGCTCTGTTTTTCACCCTCATGGCTGCTAAATAAATAGTACTTGGAAGAAAACAGAAATTGAGCCCTTGGGCTTTGCCCTTGTGGACCCAACCCTTATGAAGCAATGGCTGATATCACTCTCTCCTCTCACCCTCTCTTCCTGCCAGAGGCTGACTCCTATCTCACGCGGTTCACTGCCCCGCAGACATACAATTACTCTGTCCTCCTTGTGGATCCTGCTTCCCATACACTTTATGTTGGTGCCCGGGACACCATCTTCGCTTTATCCCTGCCCTTCTCAGGGGAGAGACCCCGCAGGGTGAGAGATGGAAGTGGGGAGGACTCCAGAGCATGTGATTAGATACATAGTTTTATGGGATTGGTGTGTGTGGGGTGTTCATAATAACCAAATATGTAACAGGGTGGGGGTGGGAGGGGGAGTGTTAGTGAAAACAAACATAGAAAGAATATTCATTATCTTTGCTAAGGGTGATGGGGTGGTGGTCATGGTGACTGGGGAGGCTATGAGGGAGGTTCATGATAGGGAGGAGGCCACAGTGACCAGGTTTCAGGTCACAGTGGGCAGAGGAATCATTAGAATCACATTTCTTTGGGGCAGTAGCTTTTAAACTTTTTTGACCACCCCTTAGTAAGAAATATTTGATACATTTTGACCTAGGACAGGAAGTGTATATTGGAAGAACCCTTTCTTGAAACAGTATCTACTCTCCTATGTGTGATACATTTTGATATATCCTATTTCATTAAAAATAAAAGCAATTGATTTCATTACTCATTAATGGGTGGAGACATCCAGTTTGAAAAACAATGCTCTGATTGGTGCTTGTTGGGGTGGGGGTGGGGGGCTCTGCAGTTCTCAAATTGATGAAGGTCATGGAACTGTTTTAACTACCCTGACTTGGGAGGAATTTGGGGATGATCTGGGAGAAACAATTATTCCTCCTTTCTCAGATTGACTGGATGGTACCTGAGGCCCACAGACAGAACTGTAGGAAGAAAGGCAAGAAGGAGGTAGGTGTGAATCTTGTCCCTATCCTGAGTGTCAGTTGAGACCTAGTTCCAGCCCTGACTCTGTGTCTGTCCCCTGCAGTGCTCCCATCCCAGTGGGCCCAGGCAGGGACTCTTAACACCATGTCATTACCTATCATCTCTGATCCCAGAGCTGCGTCTAACTGTCCTGACACTACCCTACCTTTCCTTGTACCTGCTGCTTCTGATTCTCTCTAACCATCTCTGACCCCCAGGACGAATGTCACAATTTTGTCCAGATTCTCGCCATTGCCAATGCCTCTCACCTCCTCACTTGTGGCACCTTCGCTTTTGATCCGAAGTGCGGGGTTATTGTGAGTGATGGGTGGGAGGATGGGAAAGGTCTTCTGTGAGTGACCATGATGGGGGGCATGCTTAAGGCCACACTTGTGCATGATACACATTGGGGGTGAGGGATGTCCTCACAGGGTGGAGCCTTTGTCTGCCACAGAAGGGGGGGGTAGGAAAGGGAGGGGGAGGGAGGTTGTCTGTGGAAGGTGAGGTATACAGAGTGTAAAGAGAGAAGAGGGACGGTGAAGGGAGTTAGAGACGCTAGCTAGACCTGGGAGAGGATATATCCAGGAGAGACTTTAGAGGCCAGTAATTCCTGTTTCCTTTGCTCGGTGTATGCTTTGTCTAGGCAGCCTAGGTCCATTTCTTAATCAGCACAATCCATGCCTGCTTCTTCCTCCCACAGCATGTGACTGTCTCTCTCCCCCTTCTTCCACGTCTACCGCCAACTTCATTCTGTGTGAGCTGTGACCCTCTGCTCTCACGGCTTCTGAGGTCACTGCCCACTAATATAGTACTTGGATCTTGCCTTCAACGTGGGCACTCTGTCAGTCACCTTTTCTTCCAGGTCTTGCTCACTGCTGCTGGAGCCCTGGGCATCTCCACCCTCACACTCAGGCAGGCTTGGGATGTGTATACTCCTGATCATCTCTAGGCCAGTCATGGCTTCTGGAGTTAATGGGACTGGTGGCATCTCAGGAAGGTCTTAATGTTTTTGAACTCTCAGCTTTTCCCATCAGTTATCCAATAGTCAGTCACTGGTCCTCTGCCAGCACACACTTGTGACAAGAATCTAGGATGAGTCAGAAGCCTCCCATGTTCTTTGTATTCAGTGGCTTCCTTTTCTGCTCCAAGGAGCAATAGGAGGAGTGCAATGACTCCCTTTCCTGGCCCTGATTCTTAACCACAGATTTTGACTTGCACCTTCTGCAAACTGGAGTACTGCTTGCCACCCAGATCTCATCAGTGTGTATGTCCAAACCCCTCCTTGTTGAAGATGATGCTCATATCTCTGGCTTTGAATGCTATAATTGTATATGCTTTGTTGTCCTAGTCAGTCCCTCTGGGCTGTCCCTGAGATTGGTTGTTTTTTTGTTGAGTCTTTTTCATAATGTGGATGAAAGACTTTCCATCAAGGTGTGGATAGCTTCCTTTTCTTGGGAAGGTTTCAGGGTGGTATTGAAAATCTCTATAAGCCATCAGGTGATGTTGAAGGTTTGGTTTCCTTACAGTTCTCACAAAGCTCGGAAAGTAGTGGTAGAACTACCATTGCCATATAGGTCTTCTTCCAGTCTGCACACACTTGGGGAACCCATGGGTATGAATACCGGTGCCATGGCTTATAGACAACATGATCACTTCAAGTTAGTCTCCTAGAGCCTTCTATTCTTCCTTGGCTCTGTGAGGGGACCCTAATGGTTGTTATATTCTACAGACACAAAATGTTCTGTACATCCTGTCAGGATTGGACTCCTATCCATTCCTGAGAAAAATCAGCAACCAGAGTGAAGCGAGGGGTCTGCCTTTTTATTCCCATGACTTTTAGCTCCTTCTTTGAACTCTCCTATCTAGCAGGTGTACGAAATGAAGAACCATCCTTTGGTCAAGGCTTGTTTGTAGGAGAATATAGGGCACACCCCCCTGCCCCCAAAATCAGCTGTGTTAACTCTTCAGGCCATATACTAAGACTGCCCTCTAGACTTCTTCAGTGCTCTCAAGCCTTTACTGTTTGATCCTGCTACCTAGCAACTCCTGTCTGTTTAAGCAAATTCTTGCCTTATCCTTAGTGCCGAACCTCTCATGTCCCAGACTGATGACTTGGAGACCATGTATAACTATTACGTGAGAGCTTTGACTAGCTGATCCAGACACAGCAACTCACTCAGAGTTGATTGCTCAGAGAAACAAAGGTTCCTACAAAAGGCAATTCAAGCACTGGACCCACCAGCTCTGACAATGTGGAGTGCTGCCATTCAGCTCATTGGACGTTGGAGGAAAATATTTTAGTTTGCTTTGTTGAGGGAGTCGTAGCAGTTAACAGAGAAAAATGCTAGACTTAACAATAGCAATGACAAGACTTTCCATTCAGTTGAAGATGTACTCTGTCCCAGGCGTGGGTACTAGGGACTTTACATTCGAGATTGAGTTTAGTTCTTAGCACCCCACTGTGATATTTAGGTATTATTTATATCCATTTTACAAGCAAGGGAATGGAAGTTCCAGAAAGTTAGGTACCATGTCCAATATTATGTAGCTGGCGGAGGTAGAGCCAAGATTTAAATCCAGCTGTATCTGGTTCTGCCCCACAACCCTGATCTTCTAGTCCAGCCTGCAGCACAGAAGACCATATCTGGTTTCAGTGTCTTGTGACATTTGTCCTGTTTCATGTGACAGGGACCATCTTTCTTTTTTTCCCCCCTAACCACCTGGGGAAGGTCCTTTGTCTATCTTGTACTCTTCTTGGCCAAAGCCAAAGGATGGATTCCAACCCTACAGCTCAGTGAGAGCCTTCCTGCCTAGCTCTCTGTCTTTCAGCTGGAGGGACTTGCCTTCACCATAACTGATGATACAATGAGGAATCTCAACATTCAGACAGAGACTGTAGTGGACTAGTCTTACCCCCTTCAGACCCTAATTAAATGTCATTTTGACAAAACAGTAATCATAACCTATCTAGTTAATAGGAGCCTCACTTGCTCAAAAATTATAAACCTACATAATACAGTGATGCCATTTGGGGAAACTGGATGAAGACTCGTTTTGCATACTGAGTTTTAAGGGGCTGATAGGCCATCTCTGTGAGGAAGTCCAGCAGCCAAGTCCAAACACAGACCAGAGATTGGAAGGCATCAGACTTTCAGAGAATTTGGGGAATAATTTGCATAGGAAGTCTAACTGGAAATGTAAGAATGAGTGAGATCATTGAAGTATTTATGACGGACTAAGGATAGATCCTTACACAGTTAGGGGCTAGGAAGGAAAATAGAAGCAACCAAAGGAGATAGAGAAGCAATAATTAGGTAGGGGGAGGATGGTAGACTTCCAAGAGAATCAAGACAGAATATTTGAAGGAGGGAGTGAATCAAAAATATCAGATGCCCCATAAAGATTAGGAGGTTGAACACTGAGAAAAGGAGTCCTTGGTGAAACGTTGAGGGAGTAGTCTTAGGCACAGGGATGGGAAAGCATGATTTGTTTTCTGGGAATAACAAGCATCCAGGTCTGGTTGGAAGAAAGTGTTCATTTTGAGCAGTATTAGAAAGGAAGTAATTTGGGCTAACAGGTTTGTATTCTAGGCAGTCGTGAGCCATTTTGTTACTCTCTTGCTCAAAAATTTATCAAGGCAGTGACTGATATTGTAGGAATATTAATCTGCAGAGCAAATTGGGGGCAAGGCTAGGCAGTGTGGAGAGGAGGAGGTTACTGCTGTAGTTCAGGTGAGAGGTAGGAAGAGCCACCACAACATGTATTAACCTTTGTTCAAAGTTCCCAGACATCTTGGTCATCTCTCACTGAACTGTCATCCATCTCTTTTCTCAGGCTAGGCGGCTCCCACTTCCACACAGGTGAGATGCTTGTGCCCCTGTAGGGTCCCTCATTCCAGAAGACTCTCTTAACCCAGTGTTCCCTTTTTGGGGACCTCAGATCACATCTTAACAGGCCTTGTTCAAGGCTCTCTTGGTAAAACAAAACCTTATTTCCTGACTATAGTTAATAGATGAGCGGTCAGAATGGACCCATAGTATACCTATACTCAGGGGATATATATCTATGTGGCTACTGCAACCACCATCAGTGTAATTAGGCTCCAGGAACACCATATGCCCCCCCTAGTGAACTAGAGGTATTGTGTCTGGCTCTTCATGCCATAACTTTGATTCCTAACCAGCCACAGTTAATTTCCCTGCCAGTCTCCGGTTGAAGTCATCTTTGGTTTCCATTTTTAGATGTTATTTTGAAGGCTGTCTTAGTGCTGGATGCTCAGGTAAGGTAACTTCTGGCTGGCCCTGGTGGACTCCTACATCTCTCGCCTCCTGTCCAGGTCAGTCCTGCTGTGGTCCCTGAATGAAGAAGGCAGTTACTTGCCAAATCCTCAAATTCTGACCTGAGTTTCAGATCTTTGCTAACTTTGCAGATTCTCTACCCCCTTTCTATGTAGTATCCTTGACTCTGGTCCTGTCCTTCATTCTTGGAGTAAGAGTAGGGGGAGGACGGCCCCTCTTTCTAAGCCCCTGAGCTTCAGATGATCTTATATCAGCCTGCACTCTTTTTTACCCTTCCTCAGGACGCCTCCTCTCTTCCCTTCATCCTCCTTGTCCTGTCATATAGTCCCCAGCCAGTTGCAAACCCTAGCATTTCGGAGGAAAGATCTGCCTCTCGGCCTCTTAGTGTCTTCTAGGGCCATCTGCGGGTTTCCTTCAGCAGGGCATGTGGGTGTTGGTACTAGGGGAATGGAGGAAAGAGGAATAAACTGATGAAAAGGGGGATGGCAGAGATGGGAAATGCTGGAATAGGTGGGGGAATCAGGAACAGCAGACTGGGAGTTATGGGGATGGTAGCGGATGAATGGGAGATGAATGGAAATTGGGCATTTCCTTCATCTGACCATCTTTGTAATTCTCACCAGGAGCCTCTTCATGACCCTAAACCAATTGCCCCCTTCTGGTCTGTAGGATGTGTCCAGTTTCCAGCAGGTTGAAAGACTTGAGAATGGCCGGGGGAAATGTCCTTTTGAGCCAGCTCAGCGGTCAGCAGCTGTAATGGCTGGTGAGTGGGGAGAGCCCAGAACCTGTGGCTCCTTGCTATAATTGCCTCCTTTTCCACCCCTGCTGTTGGAATTTCTGTGTCCTTTTTTTCCTCTCCTTGCAATGCCTATTATTCCCATGTCTCTTTCTAGACCTTCCTGTTCTTCCCACAGTGCCTGTGTCCTCCTGCTTTTCCCCAGATTCTTCCCCGGGGTTTTCTCTAGAGTATGCGTCCTCTGCACCTCTAGCGTGAGTGTTTGCTCTGTTAACCTCATTTTCTTTTCTCATGGTGTTCCCTCCCACCCCGCCCCTGTTTATAAGAGGAATCTACTACAGAGCATATTGTAACACATTTGAAAAAAGTATGGAGAAGAACATCAGAAATCTTGTAGAATAGTGCTGTCCAAAGGTACTTTGTGGGACAATAGAAATGTTCTGTCTCTGCTGTCTAAAATGATAGCCACTACTTACACGTAGCTCTTGAGCCCTTGGACCACGTGACTAGTTTGACTGGAGGAAGGAATTTGAGTGTCTAGTGTCTACCATCTTTGCACAGTTCTAGAATATCAGAAAACCACTGCCAATATTGTGGGATATTTCTTTCTAGCTTTTTAAGTAAATGTGTGTGGGCACTTGCATCTGTACTCATACATATAAATTTTGCTGGCTGGTCCTTTGTTGCTCAGAGGAATCAGTAATGACTGTTAAATAAATTCCTGCTCTTACTTCCTTTGACCAAGCTGTATATAGTTCAAGTGTGCAATGGTTCAATCACAGTTGATGCCCAAATCTTTTCTGGAGAATGACTGCGTAATCCTTCAGCAGCCACAAAGTGAATTATTTGTGTGGCACGGAGCCTGTCTTTTAGGTCCATCCTTCAAATTCAGAGAGTCCAGCCATTTTCTCACAATAGTATAAAATGAGCAGGTTAATAGAAATTTTATGAGGGTGTGTATATTGTAAAACTTTTAAATGTCATGCCACATGGAATTAATTTTGAATTTTGTCATGTAACTTTTTATCATAGGCATTTCTATACAATTTAAAAATTTTAAAAAAGATTTTATTTGAGAGAGAGAGAGAGCAGGAGCAGAGGGAGGGATAGAGGGAGAGAGAGAGAGAGAAGCACACTCCCCTCGCTGAACAGGGAGCCCGATATGGGGCTCGATCCCAGGACTGCGGGATCATGACCTGAGCCGAAGGCAGATGCTTAACTGACTGAGCCACCCAGGCACCACCAATTTAAAATTTTTTTGTGAAGAAATTTTTTTTTTAAAAGATTTTATTTATTTATTTGACAGAGAGAGACACAGCGAGAGAGGGAACACAAGCAGGGGGAGTGGGAGAGGGAGACGCAGGCTCCCCGCAGAGCAGGGAGCCCAATGCGGGACTCGATCCCAGGACCCTGGGATCATGACCTGAGCCGAAGGCAGTCACCCAACCAACTGAGCCACCCAGGCGCCCTGTGAAGAAAATTTTTAATAATATGATGCTACCCATCCTGTGAGCATACCATAATTTAATTAAGCAGTCTCAAGTTATTTATATAAGTTTATTTGATTTCCAGGTTTATTTAATTTACCTGAAAGTTTTTGCTAGTCCCGTAACACTGTAATGAACACTTTTGTGTGTACGTTTTTATCCTCATTTTAGATTGTCTCAAGATTCCTGGAAATGGATTACTATATCAAAGGGTGTGAACATTTTATGGCTCATTATTTGTTGCTAATTGAGTTTTTAGAAAGAGTGGTACCAGTTTACACCCTAAATCAGCAGGAATGAAAGTGTTTTCCTTTTTTCTCACATAAATTTCACTAGAATAGTATTGTTGTCATTTTGAAAAATCTTTGCTAGTTTGAGGCTAAAAAATAGCACCTTGTTTTAATTTGTATTTCTTTGAATATTAGGTAGTTAAACATTTTTCATATTTTCGTACTTATTTTTGTTTCTTCTTTGGTAAATCCTCTGCTCATATTCTTGGGCCAGTTACCAGGTGGGATATGTGTTCCAGTCTATATCTTTTCCTTTGTGGTTATGTATGTCTTTAAGCTAAATCCTTCTTCAGTTAGAGAGCAGATAAAAATTTTTCTTCTTACAAGTTTTTCCCCCAAACATTTAACTCTTTGATCTGTTTGGAACTTACTTTGATGAATGGCATGAGATGGAGATGTAAATTTGTTTTTCCCAATTAGCTAATCAGTAGACTCAGCAGCATTCATCATACTGCTTTTTCTTTCTTTACTGACTTTTGCTGTTCATTATTGTAAAATTAATTTTTACCCATTCTTTTGGACTACATTTTATGAAAAACAAAATTTGGGACACAAGATCTAACAGTGAAATTTTTTTTCTTACTCATGGCTTTATAGGAAAAGTCTTAAAAGCTAGCTATACAAATTAAGTCAGTCTTAGTCATACAGTTAATGACTTCCCTTTTCTGAAAAGTAATAAAATAACAGAGTTTTTGAAGATGAACATGGGGTGCCTGGGTGGCTCAGTCGTTGAGTGTCTGCCTTCGGCTCAGATTATGATCCCAGGGTCCTGGGATCGAGCCCCACATGGGGCTCCCTGCTCAGCCGGGAGCCTGCGTCTCCCTCTCCCACTCCCCTTGCTTGTGTTCCCTCTCTCGCTGTCTCTCTCTCTGTCAAATAAGTAAATAAAATCTTAAAAAAAAAAAACCCATAAACTAGAAATCTAGTAAATACAAGATTTGTCATTTTTATCATTCATCTGCAATTGAAATTGATGAAACCTTGTTTATAGTCATACATGTTTGCATAAAACAGTTAAGTCTATAGTTTTCTTGGCTTTTTATCAAACATCTGTGGCAAAACTCTGAACCAGTCATTGGGTCATTAAGAAAGATTTATCAGTTTTAGCAGCTGTTTCTTGATTCTACATAATTTTTTATCAACAAAATGACTTCTTAATTATAACAATCTAAGGTTAATTGATTACTTTGACTTTCTTCGTTTCAAGTAATAATATTTATACTCAACCCTCTGCATGTAATCTCTCTGTGTTCCAGTCAGCAAGTGAATTCACTTGCTGTGAATTCGTGTGGTTTAAGAACACAAATTTCATAAATAAGATCATTGTATGACAAAGAACATTTTCAAAAAGGAAAGACATTTTTCAAAAGGATTTCAAGTTTCTTTTTTTTCCAGATAATGAGATTCAAGTTGCCTTTCATCTGATAATTGATGGAAATGATCAGAAGTCACTTTCTAACTATTTAGAATGGCTGGCTTCTCCATGTCTCTTTCTGTCTTCGATCCAAATTGTAGTCAATACCAATATTATACATTTTCCTCTGAAGTTCATACTTTATAGGGCTATAATTTAAATTTCTTTAAACTTGACATATGTGCCAGTATTCAGTTGGAGCTTTCAATGTTGATCTATTATACCTTGCTGCCCCTTTGTTTTGAAAATAGCAGCATAGAAAATTGGGGCGCCTGGGTGGCTCAGTAGTTAAGCGTCTGCCTTCGGCTTAGGTCATGATCCCAGGGTCCTGGGATTGAGCCCCGCATCAGGCTTCCTGCTCCACGGGAAGCCTGCCTCTCCCTCTCCCACTCCCCCTGCTTGTGTTCCCTCCCTCTCTCGCTGTCTCTCTCTCTGTCAAATAAATAAATAAAATCTTTAAAAAAAAAAAAAAGAAAGAAAATAGCAGTATAGAAAATAGTGACAACATTATGTAAGAACTAGAACTTAAATTCCTAGTTAGGATCTGTAAAAATGTCCTTGAGGATTATAGAGCTATTTTGAAATAAAAAGAAGAGCTTTTAGTAATGAAAATATTATTAGCATGTAATAGCAGGAGCATTTCTTATTTTAAATTATAAAAATTACAGTGTGCATTGTGGGTAATTGAGAAAATATAGAAACATATAATGAAGGAAGTGAAAAGCTAATTGTAATTCAGTCATCACCAGGTAGCCACTATTACTATTTTTGACTATTTTCTTCTACTGTATTTGTGTGCATATTTGTAATACATTGGAATTATCATACATATTTCACTTAATATTGTATACTGAACATTTTCTCATAGAATTAATTATTCAAAACATGATTTTTAGTGATTGCATACTCTTCCATCACTTGAATTAGCACAGTCTATTCCCATATAATTATACATTCAAAATGTAAAATAAATTATTGCTTTTATAAATAATGCAGAAGAAATTCTTTCGCATAAATGTTTATGTAAATCCCTTACATGAATCTAATTAATCGCATATGAGTCAATCCAGAAAGTAGAATTGCTGGGCCAAAGGGTGTAAAGATTTTTTTTTTTTTTTTTGCTTGCATCTCCATTAGTGAGGTTGAAAAACTTTCCATGTGTTTATTGGTACTTGCATTTATTTAGGAAAAAGCCTCAGAAATCTTGTCTTAAAATATGAAATTTATTTTTACTACACTTAGATAAAATTAACAGAATTTTCTCAGTGTCTCTTTTTGCACTGTTCCAATTTGGAAAAATGCAGATATTTTGACAATAATGTTCACATTAGCCTAAGAAAACTGGCAATTCCTTCTGTCTCCTTTGGAGGGTCTTTGTCTCCCACTCATCCTTTCAAGGTTGAGGTTCCTTGGACCCCCTCTCAAGGTCCTGTTCTCTTCTCATTCTATGTGGTTGTGGTCTCAACCAGCCTCACAGATTTGTTTCTACTGCATTCTGATGCCTCCCAGACATTATCTGGGGCTACAGACCACATATCCAGCTGCCTTCCAGATATCTCCACATAGATATCCCACAGAAATCTCAATATCAGCATGTCCCAAACCAAGCTCATCATCCTCACTCACCTCCCCCAACCCTGCTCCACCACCAGTGTCCCCTCCTCTGAGTGCACAGTGCTGTTACTCTCCCAAGTAACCCAGTTGGAGACAGCAGTCAGTCATCTTCGGTTCTCCCTACCAACATCCTATAACAAATAGGGCTTTTATTGAGAAGAGCAGAAGGAGGGAGTATTTGTTCTTTCTCTTAGGGAATCTATCCTGTATTTTATCTTCTCTGTTTGATCTCATTGCATCTTGCAATTACTGCATCTGACAAGAGGCATTGCAAATGTCCCAGATGTACTGGGTGCTGCTGGCATTTTGGGGTCAAACCTACCTCTTAAATTCAGGAATGTTTGCCCCAAGACTAGCATTCACACACTGAAACAAGACAGTTGGAAATCATAAGTGATCAACAGAGGAAATGGTAGAATAAACACTGCATCTCCAGATATCTAATTATGTCCTCATCATAGGCTGTTATATATAAAAAAAAGTATCTAGCTGGCCTAATCTTTAAATAAGGAAATGGAGAATATTAGGCTAGAAGCTATCTATCCTGCAAAGCTCTGACTGTGAAGAAAAGGGAATGGAGGAAGGAAGGCCAGGGCATGTTTAAAATCTTTTTTTTTTTTTTTTTTAAAGCTAATGAATGATTATTCCTATCTTCTTTAGAAGTGACCGTTTTGATACCAGAGTGAAAAATTGGAACCCCGGGGTGGAGTGAAATACTACCGTGGAGTATGCAAGGCTGTCACCATTGGGTTGCTGACACGTCTGGGAAGACTATGTCACAGGCTTTACACTTGGGCGACGAGAGATCTATTTCCACACAGAATTGTGATTTTTCTTTGGTTGTGATTCTTCATCTTTTGTGGATTTCAGTCTTTTTTTTTTTTCCTCGATATTTCCAAAATGAAAAATACCTTAATTGGGGGGGGTTATAAAAGCTTTTAAAAGATGGTAACTACAACAAACATTCAGTGAGTACAAAAAAGTAGAAAGGAGAAAATGAAAATGATTGTAATTCCATTAATCAGAAATGTGTCATTAACACTGTAGAGTTGTAGCTCCTTCCAATCTTTCCTATGTCTGCAGACATATACATATTTTTTTTTAAATAGGGTTGTACTATACCTGGTGTGTTTTTTCTAACCAGTTTGCTCACTGAATTCAGCACTGTGGGCATCATTCTCTTTTGCACGTCATCTTTTGCCAATAGCAAATGTGTGTTTTAATGTTTACTGAATTGATTCATTCAGTACTGACTTGCCGACGATTGCACACACAGGGGTATTTCATTATGTGAGCAATGCAACATAATATTTTAAATTGATGCTGTCCTGGAGAATCTAGGACATGTGCTGATCCTGTGTCCTCCTGTCCTCGTGGCTGTGATGCTGCTGTTCCTTCTTGGGGTGCGTGCGTGTGCGCGCGTGTGTGTGTATTGCAAGCCCCTTGGTACTCCTGGAATACCTGGAACCCTGCTACTTCCCCCCAAAGTGTCTGACCCCTTCCGCTGTCCCTTAGTGTCAGTGACCTGCTCTTTCACTCCGAGTGAGTGTACTCTTCAGCAATTCTAGGCTCCGGAGTTGCTGTCTGCCCCCATTGATCCCTTAGAAACTTTTGGAACCTTTTACCTCCATCCACTGCTGGGTCCTTACAAAATATTTATTTGTTGCTTCCCCCTCCCGCCACCAAGTCATGCTCTCAAATATTCGTAACTGTCTCCTCCACAGATCTCTCTCCATTCTCAGGGTGTCCATTGACACAGCTTCTGCCGAGTTTTGATTTTAGAGTGTTTTGTGTATAATGCTCGTAGGGAGATTCTTCATTGTACCTCTGGCTTCTGTATCAACTTTTCCCCCTGCCTTGGAAGTACAGAGGGTTGGCTCATTTGCTGCTCCATGTGCTATCAGACTATGCCCTGCCCTTAACCTGGTTTTCTCCTTCCTGAAGTACTCTGGGAGGGAACGGGGTGACATTTTATAGCCCACCCTCCCCCTACCTTCTGGCAACAACTCAAGCCTGTGGTCCCTGAGGTTTCATAAGGAGCCTCAACTCACATGCATTGAATGGCAGCCATGCACCAGGCCCTACGTGGGTTCTGTGTTTGTATCGCATTTAACCCTCAGCACTGCTCCGAGTGGAGGGTGGTATTATCTCCATTCTGTTTGAGGTACCTGAAGCTAATTTGCCCAGATCATACTACTTATAAGTATTTAGGGTCCAAAGCCAGGCCTTCCGAGCTCCAGAACACTTGGATTCTTTTCACAGTCTCCAGGGGTAGAATAGTCTCCCCTCCCCTCCCCACCCCACAAGAGCATTTCTAACCCTCTGCTGCTGCCCTCAGAGGCTTTCTGACCCTTTTTTGCTTTGTATGAAGTATTTTTTAAAATAGTGGTTATTTTTCCAGTACCTGAGACAAGCAACTTTGCTCAAGCATCTGTGACCCCAGGATGATCGTGCTTCCCCCAAAGTGGCTCTACTCTCCTGCTTCCTTCAAGGTGCCTGAGTCCCCGTGGCTCCTGCTGGGCCTCCCCTGCACCGCCTCCCAGCACACCAGTCTCTCTTGCTTCTCTAGCCTCTCTGACTTGATTTTTCTAGTAGTCTTCAGTAGCCTCTCCCCTTAAATGGTGGTATTCCCAGGGACCTTTTTCTCACTTCCTCTTTCTCCCTGGCTATCACATTCATGGCGTGGCTTAAGCCTGACTCCCAAGTTGCCTGACTGGCCCAGTTGCCTGGGCCCTTCTGTCTGATTGCCTTCCATTGTCTCCAACCAGATGTCCTGAAGGGACTTCAACCTTAGCACATTCCACATCTGACGTCCCAGCTACCTCCTTTATGGGCCTTCTGCTATCATTTCCTGGCTTTGCTCACAGTATCACCCTCTGCTGTCACCCATCTTACAAGCTAGAGACCTTAAAGACATTATTTTATTCCATTCTTTCACATCTCATATTCAGTTAATTTTCACATCTTGTTTTTGTTTCTGCCTCAGAAATATCCCCCAATCCAGTCCTTTTATTTTTCCTCCCTCCCTCCCTCCCTCCCTCCCTCCCTCCCTCCCTCCCTCCCTTCCTTTTCTTTTCTTTTCTTTTCTTTTTCCACCAGCCCTTTTATTCCCTCTGCTGCTACCTAAGTTCCGACCTCCACTCTTGCCTGGATTGTGTGAATGGCCTTATAACTAGCATTATCTTCTTAAAACCCCAAACTGATCATGTCACTGTCTTCCTCAAGAAGATCTGCAGATCTTACCTGTAGGATAAAGTCCACACTCCGTGGCACGGCAGAGCAGACCCTTCACAGTTGGGTGCCCACCTTTTCATCTCCAGCTCCGTCTCTGCTCACTAGCCCAGCAGTCCCCTGTGCCAGAGCTGTGGCCACAGGGAGTGCCCCATGTCCCTGAACACGGCTCCTCTCTTCTCCACCTGCTCGTCTTCCTCTCTGAAGCCCGCTCCCTGGCAAATTGCTCCTTTCTCTGACCTGGCTCAGTTGTCACCTCTTGGATGCTGTTCCCCCTGGTTGTATGTGGGTGGGTTCTCCTCTGTGCTCCCCCACACATCTGCTAGTCCATGTTTCCTGGTATCTGAGCACACGTTTGTCTTCCAGACTCGAATGGGGGCTCTTGGAGGCAGTGATGCGCTTAGCACGTGGCACAGTAGCTCGGACATAGTAGGTGGTGAAGGAATGCCACTCTGTTCTCTCCAGAGTTCCTGGGATACTCAGAATTCCTCCGGGGGGCTCACGACCTTCTGTTACCCTGAGTAATTTTCTCCGAGGTGTGTCTGAGCCCTTGTCTGTGTTACGGGGTGGCTGTGGTTGTCAGATTCCTCCCACAGAGCCGTACCTCCCCTTCCTGCCGGGTGTCTGGGACTTCTCTCTTCTCCAGTCCCCACCATCCCTAGAGCACCTCTGCCCCCGTGCTGTACCAGGAGGGAGGCTCTGCCTCCTCATTGCTTCCTCAAGCTGCCTATGCAGCATTCATTAATCCCCCAGGCTGGTGTTCCTCCAAGTGAGGTCCTGAATCACCCACATGAGGGTCACTCTGACTGCTTGTTTGAGACTTAGTTCTTGGGCCATCCCCTAACTCTACTGGGTGAGAGTTGCTGGGCCGTGGGCCCAGGAATCTGTGTTTTGATCAATTCCCCAATTGATGATGGTATACCCTAAAGCTGTGACTTGTTCCAGAGCAGTGTCCACCCCCCAGTCAGAAAGAGCACCAGTTCCCTCAGACATGGACCGGAGTGGGAGAGCAGAAGTAAGACTGGGGTATGCTGAGAAGTGAACCCCCTTCCTGGAGAGTCACGGTGTAATCAGTACAGTAGGGGATAGAGGTGGCCCTAAAACAACAGTGACAAGAAACAAGCCAACAGACAAAAAAAGCCTAATTTTCACAAGGGCAGCCCTTATTCTTCTTTCCTGCACGTTAGCATGCCGGCAGTTCTCCCTTAACGTGGGAAGCCTGTTCTACCCTGGAGCCCTTTGTGTCTACGTTGATTGTAAGTGAGATGCTCCCTGTCAGGTGCTTGGCGGTGCCTGCCATGCAGTGGGCACTCAGCTCCTGTGGGTTCCTGCCCCCGCGTCATCCCCTGCTCTGCCTACAACCCCCTTTGCTCCCCTCAGTCGTCTCTGACAGCCTGTCTCCTCCCTGTCGCCCTGCAGGGGGGGTCCTCTATGTCGCCACTGTGAGAAACTACTTGGGGACGGAGCCGATAATCTCCCGGGCTGTGGGTCGCGCCGAGGACTGGATTCGGACAGAGACCTTGCCGTCCTGGCTTAACGGTGGGGTGAGGGGGAAGGGTGCTCTGGGGGACAGAGCTGGCTGAGGCCGGGTGGCCCCAGGCTGCGTCTGTGGTATCTGAGACCACTGGTCTCCCCAGCCCCAGCCTTTGCTGCAGCCGTGGCCTTGAGCCCAGCCGAGTGGGGGGATGAAGACGGAGATGATGAGATCTACTTCTTCTTTACGGAGACTTCCCGAGCATTTGACTCATATGAGCGCATTAAGGTCCCACGGGTGGCCCGTGTGTGTGCGGTGAGACCACTGTCCCTTCTGTCTGCCTGTCCTCTTCTGCTCTGCCTGTCCTGTCTTTGCCTCTCTGGGCCTCTGTCTTTGCATCTCTCCTCTGTCTCCTTTTTCCCTCTGCCTTGACTTCTTTTCTGGGAGCTTGGGGAGGTGGGGAAAGGGCTCTGGCCTTTCACCCCCATAATTACCCTTATGACACATTGTCCCCAGGAGGTGGACTAGTGGAGAGGTCAAAGGCAGGGACTGTTGAGAGCTAGTCCTAGGTTCAAGTCCTAGCTCCACCAGTTCCTGCCTCTGGGCAGGTTCTTTAGCATCTTTTAACCTCCTCTGTGAGATGAGGATATTAATGATCTCTAGCTGTAAGGGTTGTTTTGAGGACTTAATGAGGTGACTTATGGAAAGCATGTAGGGCGGTATTTCATAAGTGCGCAATGAACTCAGTCACCGTCATTGTTACTGTGACCCCATCCAGCCCCAGATCTCCTTATCCCCTGCAGTATTCTGTATCTCCATCCTTGCATTTCTGTGCATCTGTCTTCCCATCTGTCTGTGTCTGCCCTGAAGACGGGGAAACCTATATTGGTGTCCTCATGCCTCCCACAATGTTGTTGTTCTAAAGAGAACTTCCCATGTGCTTGTCACCCCAGGGGGACCTTGGGGGCCGGAAGACCCTCCAGCACAGATGGACAACATTTCTGAAGGCTGACCTGCTATGTCCAGGGCCTGAGCATGGCCGGGCCTCCAGCGTCCTGCAGGACGTGGCTATTCTCCGACCTGGGCATGGATCGGAGACCCCCATCTTTTACGGCATCTTTTCCTCCCAGTGGTGAGGGGGGTCTGTTGTGGGGGAGAGTTACAGGGTGGGAGATACATGGGGGACGGGTGCAGCCTCAGTGCTGTCTGCTCCAGAGGGGGTGGGCTCTCTCTGGAGCAGGCTGCATGGCTCCCTTTGCATTTCTCATGGGTCCTCTCATTTGACGGGGATGAGTTGCTGTTCCCTAGTTCCCTCCAAATATCTGGCTCCAACCTGTGACTCTTACAGGGAGGGGGCGGCCATCTCTGCTGTCTGTGCCTTCCGACCACAGGACATTCGGACAGTGCTGAGTGGTCCCTTCAGAGAGCTGAAACATGACTGCAACAGGGGACTGCCTGTCATGGACAACGATGTACCCCAGCCCAGGCCTGGAGAGGTGAGGGGGGTGAATTTCCTCACTTCACGCCTGCATGGCCGCAGGAGAGAAAGGGCCCAACTAGGCATCACGGATACTTCCTGGCCCCTGGGAAACTGTCCCCCATCCTGTGTTTCCTCTAGTGCATCACCAACAACATGAAGCTCCAGCAGTTTGGCTCATCACTCTCCCTGCCTGATCGTGTGCTCACCTTCATCCGGGACCACCCCCTTATGGACAGGCCAGTGTTTCCAACCGATGACCATCCCCTGCTCGTCACTACAGACACAGCCTATCTCAGAGTTGTGGCCCACAGGGTGACCAGCCTTTCAGGGAAAGAGTATGATGTGCTCTACCTGGGGACAGGTATGTTCAATAGTTCAGCGAGTTGCCCATCCAGTGCACACATGCTCCTGTCACAGAGTGGGTCCCCTACATACAGGTGTCAGAGTCCCCAGGCACAGGTACAGTTCTGTCATTATGTCTTACCACTTGTCTGCTTCCTAGAGGATGGACACCTCCACCGAGCAGTGCGGATTGGAGCCCAGCTCAGCGTCCTGGAGGATCTGGCCTTATTCCCGGGGCCACAGCCAGTTGAGAGTATGAAATTGTATCAAGTGAGTTATAGATTTGGGGGAATCTGGTGGGGATACATCTGAGTCCAGAGCTAGTTTGTTACCCTGAGGCCTGGGAGATCCAGCGTATTTTTCTTCCCTCACTCTCTTTCTGTAGAGCTGGCTCCTGGTGGGCTCCCGTACCGAGGTGACACAAGTGAGCACAGCCAACTGTGGCCGTCTCCAGAGCTGCTCAGAGTGCATTCTGGCCCAAGACCCTGTCTGTGCCTGGAGCTTCCGGCTGGATGCATGTGTGGCCCATGCTGGGGAGCATGGCGGGTGAGTGTCGCTGCGCTGGTCTCTTGCCTGCTGTCTCAGGGCACCGGCCCATCCACATGTTTGTGTCCATTTCTCATCTGTTGGGGTACCTGGCTCCTCAGTCGGTAGAACGTGTGACTCTTGATCTCAGGGTCATGAGTTCAGGCCCCATGTTGGGCGTGGAGCCTACTTTATTTTTATTTTATTTTATTTTATTTATTTTACTTTACTTTAATTTTATTTTAGAGAGCGTGAGTGGGGGGCGAGGAGTGGGGGAGGGGTAGAGGGAGAGGGAGAGAGAGAATCCCAGGCAGGCTCCACGCTCAGTGCAGGGCTGATACGGGGTGGAGCTCACAACCCTGAGACGATGACCTGAGCCGAAATCAAGTTGGACACTTAACCGATTGAGCCACCCAGGCGCCCCCATGTGGAGCTACTTAAAAAAAAATGTCTCTCATCTGTTAATGCTGCCCTACCTGTGTGTGTGTGTATTCTGTCTGTATCACTGTGTGTCCGTCTGTCAGTGCATACTGACTCGTGTGTCTGTCCATCTGGTGCTGCCTCATCAATGTCCTTGTGTCTCTGCTGGACCTGCTCTGACCGTGTGACTGACCTCCAGGTTGCCCACACTTCTCAGTTTTCATTTTACAAGAGCTCTCAGAAGTGTTTGCAGCGTTGACTGCTCCCTGCTAACTTGAGATACTGGAGCCTCTTGCCTTCTCTGACTCTGCATTCTCCTGGATTTCTTCCTTCCCCCACCAGTCTGTCTCCCTTACTGACTCCTTTTCCATCCCACTTCTGAATGTTGGTATTCCTCAGGGTTCGTTCAGTCCTTCTCTTTACACTTCCACACACTCTCCCATTATCTTCAACACCAGCTGAGTGCCGCTGACCACCAATGATGTGTCTTTAGTTGAACTGTGGGATTCCCTATCTCACCGCCTACCTGATATTCCCTTCACAAGCAACTCAAGCTGAGCAAGTCTTAGCGTGCCCCATTGTTTCCTCTTTCCTTCACATGCTCTTCCTGTGGTTTTCATCATTGCAAAAAAGGGACCTCCATCCAAGCCAGAATTGCCTGTGCTGTCGTGCAGTTAGTACTGACTCTAGCTCCATCTGTTATAACCTCAGTCCACAGCCACTTCCCCCCTTCTCTGCTGCTCTCACCCTAGTGCAAGCCATCATCGCTTCTTGACCAGATTACTCTGGCAACCTCTTAATTGGTTTCCTTTTGACCACTGGGGGATCCGACCATCTCTTTTCCCCTCAGCGGCTAGCTTAAAATTATATATCACATTGAAGCAAATCCCTGACATCATGTTCATCTGAAATATTTCAATATGTTTCTCTACCAGGTAAGGACTCTCCCTCTCTCTTTTTTCTTTTTAAATTTTTAAAAAGATTTTATTTATTATTTGAGAGAGAGAACATGAGAGGAGGGAGGGACAGAAGGACAATCAGACTCCCCACTGAGTGTAGAGTCCTCCACGGGGCTCTATCCCAGGAGCCTGGGATCATGACCTGAGCTGAAGTCAGATGCTTAACCGACTGAGCCACCCGGGTGCCCCCCCCATAAGGACTTGGTTAAAAAACATTTTATTATAAGGAGTTTCAAACATTCAAAAGTAGAATAATACAATGAATTCCTATCATCTCTTGCTCAGCTTCACAACTGGCAACTCCTGACCAATCTTGCTTCACCAACACCTTCGCTCACTCCCAGTTATTTTATAGCAGATCCCAAACATCTTATCACTTTATCCATAAATCTTGCAGTATATACCTTTAACACAGATGGAATTAAAAATAAGACAAAATCATATTATCATTATTATACCATAAACTTAATATCATGAGACATCCAATCAATGTTCCAGTTATCTCAATTGGGTATACTTCAAGATAGTTGCTTAAGTTAGGATCCAAATAGTGTCCATCGATTAAAATTGATTGGTGTTTCTTAAGTCTTTTAAGTTTTAGCTGAGATTCCCTTTAATGAAACATTTTTAATTGATTGCTTGGAAAATATTTTTTTCAAACTGACTTTGAGATTTCCTGTTTTGAAGCCCATTTAATTTATAATATATTTGTATATATTACTGAACCATAAGGTTACCAATATTTTAGAAGTAAAAGTATTTGTTTTGGGAATCAATTTTTCATTAAGAACGTTGATCTGGTAGTTTCTCTTGGGAGAACTTTTAAATGTCTAAGACAAGGCAAGTGCTTTCTTGTTTTAATACCCATTAAAATAAGAATATCATTGTTCTTGGGTATCCTGTGTACTTGAGCCTTTTAAGATATATGTATGTGTGGGGTGTGGGGTATGTGTATATGCTAGTATATTTCTTGGTAATACAAGAAATTACCAAGTTGGTACTTCTTTTTTTTTTTTTTAAAGATTTATTTATTTGAGAGTGAGAGTGAGAGAGCATGGGCACATGAGTGGGGTGAGGGGCAAAGGGAGAGGAAGAAGGAGAGAAACAGACTCCCTGCTAAGTGCAGAGCCTGAGACGAGGTGGGTGGGGCTCCATCCCAGGAGTCTGAGATCATGACCTGAGCCAATATCAAGAGTCAGATGCACAACCGACTGAGCCACCCAGGTGCCCCACCATGTTGGTACTTCTATGCACTCTATCCTCCACACCTCAATTCATATGAGCGAGAAAAACAGACTCTGGAGTTCCTATGGCTATAGCTGCTCAAATGGCCTTCCCATGTTCCCCACTCTCAGCCAGACTAAGTGACCTTGGTTTTATCCAGGAGACTGTAATGTATTCATACCAGTCTTGGAGCTCATTTCAGGGGCCTTAATTCATGTGCAAAGAATTCACACTCAAATAGAGTCTATCTTTGGTTGAGACTTTTGTGTGTTCAGATCAGTGGAGATAGCTTGGTGGAGGTCTCCCTCTGGGGAGTGGTGACAGGGACTTTAGGGTGAACAGTCTGTCCTGCTGTCCCTGTGTCAGGCACAGTCCATGCATATCCTGGAAGAACCAGGATTGTGTTGTTTGAAACAGATCCATTTGAGGCTAATAGACATCAATAGGTGTTGGAGAGAGAAAGTTCCTACATAGAGGTGAGCCGCTTTTATGAAACAAAGAGTCATCTCCCTCACAGAATTTTGATTCACTTTTATAGAAGTTTTCTTTCTTAATAGAAAACAAGTTAACTGTAGTTTTTATGTCCCCCCCCCCCCCCGAGGAATCTTGTGGTTGTGGATACCCAGATACATTTCGTGGAACATTCATATGCGTTTTTTTAAAGCATCCTCCAAACACCTTTCCAACAGACTTACTGCTAATTTAATTCTCTGTGGTCTGCTGGAAATATGTGTAGAATTTGACATGGCAAGTGTCATGAGGAGCAAAAGGGGTATTGGGGGAAATTTTATTGATGAAGAGAATGTTGACTGATAGTTTCAGGAGTATTTATGAAATGGGAGCTGTGATCCCATTACATTACTAAATGTTCTTCGGTGCCGAGCAAAGTAGAAGGTGATGTTGACACTGGATTTACCAAGTATTCTCTTCTCTACAGGCTGGTCCAAGACATAGAGTCAGCAGATGTCTCTTCTTTGTGTCCCAAAGAGCCTGGAGGTCTGTATGGTTTAGGGGAATGTGGGTGGAGTGGGTGAAAGGGGCTAGAACGCTGTCCGTTTGGGACCCACTTTAAAAATTGGAAGGTATGGCAGCCAGTGACCCGTGGTCTTACTGTGTTTGGGACTCTCCGTTTTATCTCTGTCCCCATGGCTCCTTCTTGTGTCTGATATCATGCTACAGTTCGCTGCATTACATCCCAGCTGGTAGCATTACCACCTTTCATGTCTTTGCTCTCTCTCTGCAGAACACCCAGTAGTGTTTGAAGTTCCTGTGGCTACAGTGGCACATGTGGTCTTGCCATGTTCCCCAAGTTCAGCATGGGCGTCCTGTGTGTGGCACCAGCCCAGTGGAGTGACTGCACTTACCCCTCGGCGGGATGGGCTAGAGGTGGTGGTAACCCCAGGCGCCATGGGTGCTTATGCCTGCGAATGTCAGGAGGGGGGGGCGGCCCGTGTGGTAGCTGCTTACAGCTTGGTGTGGGGCAGCCAGCGGGCCCCCCCAAGTCAGGCCCACACAGTGGGGGCGGGACTGGCCGGCTTTCTCCTGGGGGTTCTTGCAGCATCCCTGACTCTCCTTCTGATCGGTCGGCGTCAGCAGCGACGGCGACAGAGGGAACTTCTGGCTAGAGACAAGGTGGGCTTGGACCTAGGGGCCCCACCGTCTGGGACCACGAGCTACAGCCAGGACCCTCCCTCACCTTCTCCTGAAGATGAACGGCTGCCCCTGGCCCTGGCCAAGAGGGGCAGTGGCTTTGGTGGCTTCCCTCCACCCTTCCTGCTTGATCCTTGCCCGAGCCCAGCCCACATTCGGCTTACTGGGGCTCCTCTAGCCACATGCGATGAAACGTCCATCTAGGGCAAGTGACCACTAGTGCTCGGGTGACCGTTGGAGGGGGATGACCATCGAGATGCTGGGGGTACTGGGCCTGGAAGACGGTCATGGGCTCTGAGTTCTCTTTGGTCTTTGCATCTGCCCTCTTGGGGCCTGGCTGGGCTCGAGGCCAAGCCTGTGCTTGATTTCCTGATTCCCACGAGAGACCAGAGCTGCTGTCTCCAGTGAATCAGGACTTTTCCCACCTCTGCCCTCTGAACCGCTGAGACCCCCTTCAGCCTTGGCCTCCTCTCTTCAGGGATGGGCTACAGGACATAGCTCTGACTTTGCCTTCTGGTGGGCCCTGGCCGGAAGGAAGAGCACTAGAGGTGGTGGGGGGCTAGTGTGCATTAAGTCCTTCTGTTCATTCTCTTAGTTTATCGGATTCTCTGTGGGGAGTGCATGATCCCCGTGTTGCAACATGAAATCTCTGCCCTGAGATGTCCCCCAACCCAGTTAGTTGCCCTTCTTCCATGAAAGAGTGTGTGTCAATATGCAGGTGTTTGTGGGAGGCCTGGCCACACGTGCATGCATGACTGGGCCAGTGCTCTGGTGTACCCCTGGGGGTCAGGCCCGGTGCTCGGGTGTACCCCTGGGGGGTCAGACGGGGGAAGATGGGAATGAGGCATTGCCTGCAGAACTTCAGACCCTGTAGCCAGTGAAGGAATGGTTTTCCTTTCTAAAAGGAAACAAACCACCCCCCCATCCCCATCACCTCCCACAACCCTTCTCTTGAGTAGAGGGAAAACCCCCAAAGTGACCTTTTGGGTGGGAGGGGCAGCGGTACACATGACCCCATCATTTTCTTTGTTTTTGCCTCCCGGCTGCCACCACTGCCACACAGAGCTGTTCTTTCTCTGGCTGGAGTATAGGCTGGACCCCTCTTCTTCGGCTCCCGTTAAAAAAACTTCACAACATTCTAAGCATTAAGGGACAACAAAAGGGGAACAGTCATAGGAAATACAAGTTGCATAAAAATAGGTTTGTATCAGTGACTTTACTCAGGTTGACACCCTTGCCCTAAGTCAGAAGTTCTCCACCTGGGGTCCGTGGACTCCCTGACATCGTATGCAAAATGCTGTCTGTACATGTGTGTCTGTATTTTGATGGGGGGTGGGGTGGGTGGGTATGGCTTTCATCAGCTTCTCAAGGCCTTAACAAAGCTAAAGGACCGTGCCTCGAGGTCGCCACCCAGTGGTCAAGCTGAGGGAGTGCCACTCACGGCAGTTCTTCCTGCCCCACCATCCGTTCCCTGTGGTCAGCCCCTGGACTCACAGCCGCTGGATGCCCTCTTGTTTCTCCGGTTTCTGGAAGCTGGGCTCTGCGTGTATTTGAAGATACTATCAATTCCTACCAAACATAAAGACCTCTTCCTGCTTCACAGCTCCCAGATGACCTAGGCGTCTCCTACTCAGTTCTGGTCTTGGCCTGTGTATGTGCCTCTTTCATCCCTGGTAAGGGACCCCCTTGAGCTCCAGTGAATGATCCAGCCCTTCCCAGTTGAAGTTTTCAGCTCTACTTTCCTTGGCAGCAGCCTGTGAACTATTCAAAAGAGTCCCCTTGGGCTTGGAATTACCAGTGGCTTTGCCACTAATAGGTGTATGATTTTCAGCAAGTAATCTAATGTAGGAACACTGGTTTACTCATCTGTAAAGTGGGGATAGTAATACCTACCTCAGGGTTGCTGCAAGGATTGGATGGGAAAACATGTAAACAATAAAGCACTATCTATACCAGGAGATGTTGTTACTGTAAAAATTGACCTATGATGCCATAATCCTATAGCTGAACCATATGATAACCGTGACACATGTAATCACTGTAAGCCCCATTCTGTGGGAGGAGGATCATTGGCTCACACAGACATACTGTCCTGGGTCCTCTCTGGCCAGATCTTAGCTGCTGGTGTCCAGGTTTTGGGAGGCTGGGCCTGTGATTTTTGTGATCCTCAGATGTGCCTAAGCTTAGTGACCTTCTTAGTCCTATATGAGAATGGAGGAAGTCTTGTGTTTATCCTCACTTTGTTCTCTTGAGGTTATGGGTTTGTTCCATTTTGGGGGAGGAAGAGAGGTGAGGAGATGTCAGAGGGGCTTGGGGTCTCTGTGAGGAGGAAAGGGACCAGATCACAGTGGATTTGGGGCATTTGGTCCTTGGATAGTGGCTCTGGTTGGAGGAAAACGAGAAATGTAGGAAAAAATGAGGAAGAGGGAGATAGGCATGAAGGAAAAAGAGCCACTTCTTGGTTGGTGTGAAGTTCAAGCCCCCAAAGTGAGTGGGTAGCACAGGAATATAAAGCCAACTCCCTAAGAAATAGTGTGAATAACTGATTGCATGATCTTTTACTTGTGAAGGTGTGTGAGAACGGCGAAGATCTGTCTGTGGATAAGGGAGCTAAAGAAGGGTGCAGGGTTCCTGCAGGGAGAATTGTAAGGATTCTGGCAGCCAGAGACCTGCCTGGCTTCACACGTTAAAGCAGCCACGGGGAGGGGGAGGGTTGGGCTTTGTGTTTTTATTTATCCCTTGACTCCAAAGAATGCACACTTTCTGGCCCTCACTCTTCAATTCTCCTCTGTTTTTGGCTCTGGCCCCTGGCCCATGCAATGTGACTCTTGGCTTGCCCCTAACCGGTGGTCTGCTGCTACCCACATGGCCTTACTGAAAGAGCCAGAGAGGGATGCTGGCTGTTGACTCTTACAAGCCAGGTGAGCTCCAGCACTCCACTGGCCCTAACCCAGCAGGAGGCTGACTCACTTCCTTTCTCAGGCACCCTCCCTTCCCCCCCCCCCCCCCCCCCCCCCCCCGGCAGTCCTGCAAGTTCACTGGTGGCTCAGTGATGGCAGGAAGGGGATCTTTCCATAATCTGCTGGGTCCTGACCTTCCTGGCTACTATGTCCCTGTCGGGGTTGGGGGGGCAGTCACGGCTACCACTGACCCTTCTTGGTCATCTGCACACAGGTTGTGTCTCAAGGGACGGGATAAGACTGGCCTTGTTGGTTGTAGCAGAGGCAAGCCTGGCATTTTTAAAAAATCTTCACCAACCGGAGGAGAAACTAGCAATAAAAACAACAAGACCTAGTTCTGCAGCTGTTTTTTATTTTATTTTATTTTTTAAGATTTTATTCATTTATTTGACAGAGAGATAGAAGAGCACAAGCAGAGGGAATGGCAGAGGGAGAGGGAGAAGCAGACTCTGCACTGAGCAGGGAGCCCGATGCGGGACTCGATCCCAGGACCCTGGGATCATGACCTGAGCAGAAGGCAGACGCTTAACCATCTGAGCCAGGCAGGCGCCCTGCAGTTGGGTTTTTTAAATGCAGACCCTTCGTGGGGTCTAGGGACAGGCCTCTCTGTGACATGACAATTTGTGTGGCCGGTAGATAGCAGGTGTGGTTCCAGAGTGGCCCATCTGGATTGATGCAAACCACCAGGTCCTGGTTGAGGTAGGGAAAGGCAAGCCACAGAATGATCTAGCTCCCCGAGGAGGTTAGATGAGGCCAGGTATGTTTGGAAGGGCACAGACAAGAGATCAGTTTCAGGGGGCTGCTCCAGGCTCTGTGGAGAAATTAGTGCAAGTCACGAACTCTCTGCCTCTCTTTCAAGGACTCCCAGCCATGGGACTAAGGTTTTCCCCAGACAGACAGGGCCTGGGGCTTGGGGCTCCAGGTGAATCCCGGACCTGCCCACTGGTGGGTGTGGTAATCCTCATTTATGTCAGGGTTGGCGCTCCTCTGGTGGACTCTTGGGCTTGGCCGGCTTAAACTAAGGGCTTTCATTCCCTGCAGCTGGAGCCACGGTTGGAGCAGGAGAAATCAGCAACTGGTACTGGCCCCAAAGACCCACGTCCCACCCTCAAGTTCAAGCAAGGACTTTGAGTTGAGGAGGCTGGGAATAAAATCCTCCTGGGACTGGGTTCACCCCAGGGACTCTCTGACCGTTGAGAATTGGGGAGGCTGATAGACCTCTCCGGTAGAGGCTTTGGCAGAGCACTCATGGGGAAAGTCCAGGCCTGGGGCCTTGGGAGGCATACTTCCTATCTGTCAGCTAAGGGGTTCTAATCAGCCTCAGGCGGATTCACTGGAACTCTCCCCTGCAAGCCCGAGAATGCCAAGACTTGGCACCCATTGCCAGCGCTCTCCTTTTAAGACACGTCATTGTGTATGATAAGTAAGCTCCCGTTCCTTCCCCTAGAAGAAGCCAGGAGGCAGGAATGGCCCTTCCCTGAGGTGAGGATGGGGATGGCTGTTTTATTCTTTTAGTGACATAGACTTGCCCCCTGCTTCCATGCAGCTTCTCCATAAGCTCTGGGGGGATCGAATGCATGGAGGTTGGAGACAGTCATGACCTTGAGGTTATGGAGAAGTGTCCCCATGGTTAGTGTAGAAGGATGGAGCTGCCTACCTTTTGTCTCTGTCAGCTCAGACGATGAACTTCCCATCACTGATCATAGGAACCAGAGACTCTTCTGCTCTTCACCGGGAGCCGCACTAAGTTCCCTGAATTCACGTTCAATTCTAGAGAAAAGGGTGGCTACCCCCACGATGGCTGAAATAGAATATTTTCCCCCAGAAGTGACTGGGAGCTGAGAACCAGTTAATTTGATTTATAGAAATAAGTAATCTTTTTTGTACCTGTGGGTTTGTGGAGAAAAATTCATGCCTACTGTAACTAATAGAGTTTCTAAAATTGGCTGAGTGCAGAGTGCGGGCATTATGAACTGGCCTATAGAGTGAGAGAGCAGAAGGGACTGTGGGAGGGGTGGAGCTAAGTGAGCACTAGGGGCCTGAAGTGAAGAAGGAGGACCTTCCTCCAACCCTTTGCAGGAGCCATTCGCCCTAATGTAGCTTCTCCTCAAAGATATCCACCAAACCAATCTTTTATCAGACTCAAAACCCATCACATCTCAGATGTACTGGATTTAGGTAACTTGTGGTTTTGTCATAATACTATAGCTCATCGTAAGTTGTGATCACCTTGTACTTCCCAGGTAAACATCCTCGAAAAAAGGGCACATGAACCTATGGGGTCCTAGTTGAGAAACCAAGATGTCCACGTGCTACTTCTACAAAGGTTTATGACAAACTGCCATTAGGCACTGTGCTAGAGAAGTTCGTATTCTTTCGGGCATTTACTGCTGTACTAGTCAGGACAGGCTTTGTTATGGTGCAGTAACAAACAACTGGGTACTCTTGGTGCCTTCAAGCAGCACGTTTCTTTCTTACAGCACTTTAAGGAAGTTCTAATACCTGCTACAACATGGATAGACCTTGAGGACGTGATGAGAAGTGAAGGAAGCTAGTCACAGACAGACAAATTCTGTACGACTCCACTTCTAAAATGAGGTACTCAAAGTAGTTACAGTTACAGTGACAGAAACTAGAATGGTGGTAACCAGGCACTGGGGGTGAGGAGGATGGGGGGGGATTGTTTAACAGGGACAGAGTTTCACTTTTACAAGATGAAAAGAGTTCTGGAGATGGATGGTGCTCATGGTTGCACGATATGAATGTCCTTAATACACACTTAAAGGTGGTGAAGATGATAAGTTGTATGTGTATTTTACCACAATAAAACAAAATTGGGAAAAAAGTGAGGAAGACACAGTCCCTGCCCCCTTGAAGCTCCTAATTCAGTGGGGAGGCAGACAAGTGAGCAGATAACAACACACTTTGAAAAATACTGTTGTCAAAGTGTGTCCCAAATCTGGAGGAACCCAAAGACACCCCTTCTGTATACATCTCTTCTTAACTGGCTTGAGAAACAGACTTGAGACACCAACAGAAGGCTCTGTGCCCCTAACTGGACCCCGAAGCTATGGACACAGTCCAATGTAGCAGAGTCTAGTGAGATCCATATGCCTCATCTGGTCCTTGTTGTGTGTCCAACCATGCACCGTAGAGCTTTTAGAAACAAGATGTGTCTTGGTCTACAAAACTGGCCAAGATTAAAAAAAAAAAAAAAGATTGATGAAACTTCGTGACTTTGTGCTGACGAGGGTTTGGGGGCGGGGGGGGGGGGAATTGAGTAGTCTATCCTATCCTATTGTTGAAAGTGAAATTAGTTTATGCTCTGTGGAAGGCATTCTGGTGATGTCTTATTAAAAACTTTAAAATGTATACATCGTTTGACCCAGTAATTCCATGTCTAGAAATTTATTTTAAGGAAATAACAGTATACGTGTGCAAAGATGTATTTCTAAAGGATTTCATTTTAGTATTATATGCCTAAACTATTAGAAAAAAATCTATTTAACAAGAGAAATTTGGTTACGTAAGACTCAATATTGACTTGGAAGAAATGTTCACAACGTTGTTAGGTGAAGAAAAGAGACAACCCTGAGAGAGAGAGAAGAGCAGCCCCAACAGCTGGGAGCTGGCCTGGCATTACCGTGAGGCTAGGGAGTTCCATGTCACAGCGCAGCGACAGCAGATAAGGCCACTCTGTGATGTGATGGAGCAGATAAAAACAAGACCACTCCATAATCGTGTCTGCACACAGATGAAACAGGAACCTTGTCCAAACCACAAAAATGACCAAGCATCCGCCTGTCCTGGTTCACAGTAGGGTCTGCTGCTCCTTTACCAATTCTTTGCCAGCTTCAGCCTCCTGGTGGTCGTCCCTCCTGGGTGACATTTATTAAGGTAGCCAATCATAGAATTACCCCGCTTCCTGGCAACATCCAATCCAGAGCAGAGCCCAGCTTCCTTAAACCCTCCTGCAAATCACCTGGCTCAAACCCCGGTCCTATAAATTCTTTCTAACAGCCTCTTACTGAAACGCCCACAGTTCCCGTCGTTGTGTGTTCTCACTTACCGCAGACTGAGAAGCTCAAGTGCATGCGTGCTCCTGGTGGTCTTTGGTTTGAAGGACAACCAGCATAGCCCATTTGGTTTGTAATAGATATGCATTTCCATTGTCATAAAAATGTGTGGAATAATACACACCAAGCTGTTAGCTATGGTTATCCCTGATGAGGGATGATTTTTTATTTGTTTTTGTTTTTACAATATGCATGGATGGAGAGAAAGAGAGAGAGAGAACGGGAAGAACAAAAAGGGAGGGAAGACTGAAGAGAGGACGATGTTGACAATAGGAGTGGTTCTGAACTAGGTGTTGAATAAGGGTTGAGAATGGTGCTATTGGATGATCTTCATTTTCTTTCAGTTTTCTACAGTGCATATGCCTTACATTCGACTATGAAAGATAGCAGAAGTTACTTTTAAATGAAAGAAAATTGGGATTTTTTCCCAAGGGGCAATACTATATGACCGTTCTTAATTTTTATTTTTGCGGCGGTATCTCGCGCCTGGTTTGTACACAAGTCATTAAGTTTGAAGCCTCCCGGTTTTCCGGGTCAGCTGCAGTACAGTCAGGATACGGTAGGTGTCGCTCTTTCCCAGAGAATGGCACATTGCGAACGTTGGCGGGAAGTCCTCCTACCGGCGCCCAATTCTAAATCAATTATCTGTCTGTGAGATACACCTAATCTCTAACCTTTGAATACTACGTACTTGTAATTTTCCTTCCTCTTGTAATTTTGATCCATGACTCAATCTAGATAAGAGGAATTACTAAAGTAAAACACACTCCTTGTTCCTTCCATGTAGCCAGCGTGTCTCCACAGTAACTTGAAATACGCAGGCAGCTATTATATACTGCATTTTACAGATGAGGAAAGTGAAGTTAATTAGGAAATTAAGTGATTAACAGTTCATTGGTCCAGCCTTCTTTCCCCTCCATTGGCTAGTTCTAGAAATTAGCACATACGCAGCAGG